TTAGGGTTTAGGGTTATATGAGCAAAAGTCTAATCTCCTTAAAGGGGGTTATATAGGGGATTATATAGGGGACTACTATAGGGGTTAGCAAGGGGGATACTAGGAGTTTAGACTATAGCTCATATTATACGTTTAATTTACTACATTACAGTATATCATATACTATACTGTATCATAATATATTGCAAAATATTGTAATACATTATATTTTATTCTATTCTATTGTACATTGAAAAATATTCTAGAATACTACAGTATACTATCATGTATAATAATCACTGTCATCATCACCACCGTCATCACCATAGTATGAGTTGTAGGCATGGTGAGGAGCATCACTTGCGCAATCACGATAGTGCTAGTCACGTCAGTTGGCATGGTATTGATGTCAGGGGAAAGAATGCTCGGAAGAATTCGGAAGAGGGTGGCTAAGGACTGCAAACTCTTCCTAATGTAGACCCATGACGAATAAACTTACACTTTTTAAGGGCCTCAATATTAGGATCCCTACATTCCTATTAAGGGGAGGGGGTTTATTGATCAGGGGTCTGGGTTAGTGCTTCGCCGCTGAAAAGCAACTGTTTGTGGTGATCCATTCCTCAGTGATCTTCATCTCCCATCCGGAGTTCAAAATGCTAGACTCGAAGCCCTGAACCCTAAACCCTAAAACCTAAACCCTAAACCCTAAAACCCTAAAACCCTAAACCCTAAACCCTGAACCCCTTGACGTTGTGATGCTTCCGGTTTTCATATTCTAGAGTTGGATTCATGGGCCCTAGCCTGGGCCCTGAAAGCTGGGATCCTTATATACCTATTATATACCTTATATGTACCCTTAAGGGTCCCTAAAACGGCCTAAGGGCCCATATCAGGGGCCCATACTTTTAGCCTTAGACATATTCAATTAACCCTAAACCCTGAACCCTTAACCCCAAACCCTAAACCCTAAACCCTAAACCCTAAATCCTAAACCCTGAACCCTAAACCTTTCCCTTTCATGGACTGTTTTCTGAGGTTCTGTTTCTGTGGGCCCACGGGCGTGGGCAAGACAGCGCTCTGCAAGACCCTCGCCTCCACCTTCTTCGGTTCAGAGGCCATATCATGACTTTGTAGTTGAGGGTTGATGGTTGTGGATCAGAAAGTCTAGGGGGTTGGGGGCGAGGAAGGGACTAGGGTCAAGGGTTTTGAGCTGACGGGTTACGTGCCGGTCCTTGCCCAAAGGAGCTTTGTGGGGTGGGTGCAGTTGAGATGATTCTTGTCCCCTTAATCTATGGCCTGCCTTGTTAGTGACAGGTGATGATCGACACCAGACATGTACTATCTGATGATCGACACCAGACATGTACTATCTTATCTTTTCAAGAAACTTGGCAAGTAGCCCTGGCTGCAGGACACCATGATCAGGTTGGACATGAGCGAGCGCCTGGCCAGCAAGATCACATCGCATGCAGGGTTGGGGTTTGGGGGGGATAATGGAAAAGAAAATGGAAACTACTATTTAGGGTTTAGGGTTTAGGGTTTGGGTTTAGGGTTGATCAGATTTCCGACGTTCGTGCTTCAGGGGCTTCGGAACTCGACACGTCCTTGTTGCAGCCCAGACATGATGTGTGATTAACGACTGAGGTTTATGGAGAAGCATACAGTGGCTTGCCTGCAAGTGAGTTGCAGAGGGTCAAAGTGTTGCAAGGGAGAGTTCAGCGAGAATGTGGTCGCTATTCTAACCCCAACTTATACCCTATAATTCCTATGTAACCCCTACATAATCCCTGTAGTTTCCATTTTCTTTTCCATTATCCCTAAATAACCCCAATATAACCCAATCCCTCCAGCCAACGGTCTTCGACAGTCCTCAGGCCGAGGTTGAGACCATTTGTTCAAACCCTAAATAGGGGTTTCCCAAAATTAGGGGTACCTTTCTGGGGGTCCCCATAATAAGGATTATAGTATTTTGGGGTCTATATTGGGGTCCCCTTATTTAGGGAAACACCAAATAGTAGTTTCCGTTTTCTTTTCCATTATCCCTATATAACCCCAACATATACCCTATAATGATTATGGAGCCCCTATATATAATCCTTTTAACCCTCAAATCCTAAAACCCTAAACCCTAAAACCCTAAACCCTAAAACCATAAAGCCCTAAAACCCTAAAACCCTAAAACCTTAAAGCCCTAAAACTCTAACACCCTACCACCCTAAAGTCTTCTGTAGACTCTGCACTACCCTCAAATACTCCTCTCCGACCCATGAGGTCTCAAAGCTGATAGGCGCACCTCCGGGCTATGAGCAGCTGGCTTGTTTCAGAGCAATAGTAGTAATGATCGTAATAGGAGTAGTAATCATAGTAATACTGGTAATGATAGTAACAATAGTAATAGCAGTAATCACAGTGATAATAGAAATAATCGTAGTAATAGTACTATTATTACTATTGGTCAGGACGACAGCGCATTTGTAATGGGCAGGACATGGTCAAGTTCCAGCTGTGTTTGGAACCCCCACTACTATGGGCTCAGAGGTCTCTTGCACAATTTGAGCGCAGAGTGCAGGCACCGCGGCGCCAGCTCATGGTTCAGGGCTGCGGGGATTTGGAGCGGGCCAACAACAGAACACAGCATGGGTGAGGGGCTCCAAACGGTGTACCTCACAGTATCCAAGCTTGTTACGGCCTTATAGTATTACTACTACTACTACTACTAGTACTACTACTACTACTACTACTATTACTACTACCACTACTACTACTACTACTACTATCACTATTCCTATTACTATTCCTATTACTATTACTAGTATTATTACTATTACTATTACTATTACTATTACTATACCCCTCCTGTGCATCGCATAGCAGTGGAATCTGGCTGGACATGGAAGTTGCATGGGAGCAGCGGCCCTCCTGGCCGTCGCCCATGCTGTGGCTTGGCTTGAGAAGTGGGTTTAGGGTTTAAGGTTT